GGTCTAGATAGTTACTTTGGCTAGTTTTCTGTCAGCTTGACACAAGCTAAAATTATTTGGGAAGAGAAATTTTAGTTGAGAAAATGTATCCATCTGATTGCCTGTAAGCAAGTCTGTAGGGCATTTTCTTGTTTAATGACTGATGTGGGTGGGTGCCTGTATGGGTGTTCCTGGTTATAAAAGAAAGCAGGCTGAGCAAGCCTTGTAGAGCCAGAGAGAAACAGCTCTCCTCCATGGCCACTCCTCAGCTCCTCTTCCAGGTTCCTGACTTAAGTTTCTGCCCTGAATTCCCTCCATGAAGGACTATACACTGGAAGAGGAAATAAACCCCTTCCTCCCCAGACTGTCTTTGGTCACCATGTTTACCATAGCAATAGAAAGCAAACAGTACATGGAGAAGCTTTCTCACACCATGACATACAGCATTTTGTATCACCAAAGTCAGATGGCTACTACTAGTCAGTTATGTTTCTACAGAAAGCATCTCACAATCACCTTGTTTCAAAATATCATAGCAATATGCCCACACAATTTAAGAAAGAATATTGAAATGGAAATTTGGCTCAAAACTGATGCAACTGAGTATTCACCATGTTAGGTTTTATCTCCTCATAGTATCTTCTCATGGGCAGAGCAAAAACGAAGACCTGATCTCCCATAACAAAAGGTTTTCCTTTGGCCCTGCCTACTGCTGTAAATTTTTATGAAGTCAATATTTAAAAAATCAACATTCCAACACAGCTAGGAATGGTAATACATCCTTGTAATCACAGCGCTGGGAAACTGAAGCACAAAGCTGGAGAACTCAAGGCCAACTTGAAAACAAACCAGTGAGAAGGCTCAGATGGGAAGAGCCTGTGGCACAAGCCTGCTGACCTGAATTTGATCCCTGGAATCCACATTAGAGTGGAAAGAAAGAATAAACTTCACACAACTGTCCTCTGACTCCCACAAATGTCATGGCATGCACAAACCCATGCTCACACATCAAGCATGTGCAATCATACATGTACATGCAATAATAGCAATGACAACAACTGTAGTACTACTGATAAAATAGAACAGACAAAGAAGCACAGAGGTAAGCATCAGTGGAAAGAATGTATCTGAAGAAGAAACTGAACCCAAAGCATATTTAGTTTACCATTGGCAATTTTCCTGATCACATTTTCTAAGACTGAGCTAATACTATGATTTGTGCAGATGGGATAAAATGAATTTCACTTCTTTGTTTTCAAAAATGCCCGCAAGATGGTTTGAAAATCCTGATGAAGCCATGTTGCCAGTTGGCACAGGCTGTCTGCTCTCCAGCAGCATAAGTAATCACTTTCACAATTACCAAAAACAAAAGTATGTGGTTGGCAAAACCACCAGAGAAAAAGAGATGCTGTGTCATTTAATTAGCCTTTAACAGAAAAAGTGAAATGGCCTGATAGTAAAGGCTGACCCAGTTATTTGTAATTGAAAAACAGTTCAGTACATTTTCTTTGGAGACACCAGTGGAGATACATTGTTTATGATCTAATAAAGCCAATGGAGATCAAAATGCAAAGCTAGTCAGTCATAGAACCACACAAGAGTGATACCCACCTTTAAATACACTGGCCAAACTAGTTAGCTATAGAAGCTGGGCAGTGGTAACATACACCTTTAATCCCAGGACACAGGAAATAAAGGCAGATGGATCTCTGTGAGTTCAAGGCCACCCAGGGCTACATGAGAGTGAATTAGTCTAAAAGAGAAACAGCTCACACAAAGGAAATGTCAGCACTTGATATCCCACGCCTTTAATCCCAGCTCTAAGAGGTATATAAGATAGGAGTAGGGAATTCTGCAGTCAGTCTCAGAGATTTATTCTCCAGGACTTCGGACAGTACAGCCCTTTCAGCCTGAGGTAGACATAAGTGCTAATGGTCAGCTGCTTTGCTTCTCTGATCTTCAGCTAGAACCCCAGTATCTGTCTCTGGGTTTTTATTACTGTGCTACAGACACTGATATCACTGTTTAATGCCACACAGAAGTGATAAAATTCTCATAGAAGATAACTGTAAATACAATTGTACATAGTTCTGAGGGCTTATGAAGTCTTCCACTTGGAGCTCTGCTCTATCACAGAGTATATGATACTAAGTCATCTTGGATGCTGAGTAGGCATAGATAGTGCTCACTAACAACCCAAATACTCCCTAAATCTCCAAGCATCCTATGCCCTTATGTGACTAATTCTAACCAATGAACTCTGAAACAAAACAGTCTATGCCACCTCCAGGTAGCAGTAGTTAAGTGCTCTTGTATATTATTCATGCCCCCTTTCTTCTACTTCTGCAAAATTGAGACCACAGTTTTCAGATCACCTGATGCCACCGAAAAGAAAATTGTTGTCTAGCATTTGGTCATGAATGAAGAAATCTTCTCTCTGATGTTATTTCACTGGCTGACATTGCAGCAGTAAAATTAACCACCATGGGCCTGTGTTAATTCATTTGCTGTGGCATAAAACTTAAGCAACAAATGCAAGGCATTTAAAAATGGAAATGAACAATATTTTTCTTAGCCTGTTTTTTCTCTTTTAATTTTTCTGTTGTTTTTGATTGTTGATAATCTAAAGCTGCATGGTGACTCTCAAAATGTACTTCCCAAGATAAGTACCTTTATGTCATCAGCATCATCATCATTATATCAGCATCATTGTGGCATCATCAGCATCATCAGCATCACATTATCAGCATCACTATTTTCATGATCATCTTGGGATTGATTCAAAATAAGTTCTAAGCTAGGAGCAACAGCTTATGCCTGAAATTCCAGGGCTGAAAGGCTAAGGCAGGAAGGTCATTCACAGTAGGCCACCAACATCATCCAAGAGTAAGAACCTGTTGTTTAAAAAATCTTAAAAAGAGAAAAGTGGAGAAGAGGGAGAGAAAGGAGGTACATCCCTTAATCTCACCTGAAGCTTGGTGACTGAGAAATCCTGGGAGCAGATCCTAAAATTCTGTGTTTTGAGTACTCACATTTGAGAGCTATTGGGCTATGCCAATGTTCCTTTGAGGCCACCTAAATGTGATTACCATGCAGCCAATGTATTCCTTTATACACAAGCAGCAAGCAGAGAATTCTTGCACAAATTCCAAACATTTATGTGGATTTCTATTTTCTTTTTTCACATACATATCACCCTATTTCCCATTGTAATGAACATTTAGTGATGTCTTTTTATTGTATTTACTTAGAAGTATTCTGAGTATCAACAAAATATTCCCTTTTTTGCAATTAGAGACTAGTATTCAGTAAACAAAACAAGTATTTCATAACAGTTAGATCAGAGACAACAGATAAGGGAAGAAAACAAACAAATAAAAGAAAGCAAAGCTAGCATCCCCATGTGTAACTAATCTACAGTACACTTTAAGTATCCCTGTTAATTTACAATCTAGGGATTGTACCAAGCAAGGTTAGTAGCTTTTGAAAATATCACCAGCACATTGTACAGATTAAAAACAAATCTCACACAACCTGACACCTCCCCCATATTTTTGGCGCCATGAAAAGGAGTGAGTTGTATGCATGGGGGAAATGCTTTACACATGAGGGGAGAAAGCAGCATGTCCATCCTCTTTCTCCCTCTCCTCTCCTTCATCTTTCACTTCCTTCTTTCTTTTTCTTTTTTCTCCATTTTTTATTTAAATTAGAAGCAAGATTGTTTTACATGTCAATCCCAGTTCCCTCTCCCTTCCCTCTTCCCCTGCCCCTCCCCACTAACACCTTAACTATCCCATGCCCTTTCTGCTTCCCAGGGAGGGTGAGGCCTTCCATAGGGGGTCTTGAGAGTCTGTCATATCCTTTGGGATAGGGCCTAGGCCCACCCCCATGTGTCTAGGCTCAAGGAGTATCCCTCTATGTGGAATGGGCTCCCAAAGTCTATTCCTATGCTAGGAATAAGTACATATCTACTACAAGAGGCCCCATAGATTTCTGAGACCTCCTCAATGACAACCTCGTTCAGGGGGTCTGAATCAGTCCCATGCTGGTTTCCAGATATCAGTCTGGGGACCATGATCTCCCTCTTGTTCAGGTCAGCTGCTTCTGTGGGTTTCTCCAGCCTGGTCTTGACCCCTTTGCTCATCACTCCTCCCTCTCTGCAACTGGATTCCAGTTCAGTTCAGTGTTTAGCTGTGGGTGTCTGCTTCTACTTCCACCCGATGCTGGATGAAGGCTGCAGGATGGCATATAAATCAGTCATCAATCTCATTATCAGGGGAGGGCATTTAAGGTAGCCTATCCACTTTTGCTTAGATTGTTAGTTGGTGTCATCCTTGTAGAGCTCCAGACATTTCCCTATTGCCTGATTTTTCTTTAAACCTATAATGGCTCCCTCTATTATGGTTTCTCTAATCTTGTTCTCCTCTGTTCTTCCCCAACTCAACCTTCCTGCTCCCTCATGTCCTCCTTGCCCCTCCTCTTTTCCCCTTCTCATTCTCCTAGCTCCCTCTCGGCTTCCCCCATGCTCCCAATTTCCTCAGGAGATCTTGTCCCTTTCCGCTTCTCTGGGGGACCATCTATGTCTCTCTTAGAGCCTTCCTTGTTTCCTAGCTTCTCTAGTGGTGTGCATTGTAAGCTGGTGATCCTTTGCTCTATGTCTAAAATCCATATACAAGTGAGTATATACCACGTTTGTCTTTTTGCGACTGGGTTACCTAGCTCAGAATGGTTTCTTCTAGTTCTATCCATTTGTCTGTGAATTTCAAGATGCCATTGCTTTTTTCTGCTGAGTAGTACTCCATTGTGTAAAGTACCACATTTTCCCTATCCATTCTGCAGTTGAAGGGCATCTAGGTTTCTCCCAGGTTCTGTCTATTACTAATAATGGTGCTGTAAACATCGTTGAACAGATGTCTTTGTTGTATGAATGTGCTTCTTTTGGGTATATGCCTAAGAGTGGAATTGCTGGATCTTGTGGTAGACTGATTCCCATTTTCCTGAGGAATCACCATGCTGATTTCCAAAGTGGCTGTATGACTTGGCATGGTACCTCCTGAAACTGAGAAGCTTCTGTAAGGCAAAGGACACAGTCAGTAAGACAAATTGGCAGCCCACATAATGGGAAAAGATAATCACCAATCCCACATCTGACAGAGGGCTGATCTCCAAAATTTACAAAGAACTCAAGAAGCTAGTCTCCAAAACACCAAATAATCCCATTAACAAGTGGGGTGCAGCACTAAATAGAGAATTCTCAATAGAGGAATATAAAATGGCTGAAAGAAACATAAGAAAGTGTTCAACATCCTTAGCCATCAGAGAAATGCAAATCAAAACAGCTCTGGGATACCATCTAACTCCTGTCAGAATGGCTAAAATCAAAAACACCAATGACAGTTTATGCTGGAGATGATGTGGAAAAAGGGGAACACTTCTCCCTTCCTTCTTTTCTATGCATCTTTAATCTTTAGTCCTCTCCATAGAAGTAGAAGTCCATAGCTCTCTCCACAGATTTCAGTAGACTAGCTGGGGGAGGAGTCAGACTTTGCACCCTAAATAAAAATGTTTCTGTCCACACCAAACAAGATTAGACAGTTTATCAGAAAGTGGAAGATGCAAAGGAATTATCCTAGTTTCCAGTTTCCTTTCGAAAAGCACACACTAGTGAAATAAAAGATAAACATATTTTAACTGGCTGTATTTACTAACTGGTAGTTAAAGACAACTTAAACCAATCTTTAGCAGAAATGAACAAAAAAATATTTAAAGCAAAGACTCAAGACCTTACGATTCAGAATATGAGTCCATCACCAGAGGTTACAGCAAGCAAGAGACCAGTCTTATTCACATCCTGTGCCCCAGAAAACATGGATTCTGGGCAGTAAGTCTCAAAGGGTGAGTGACATGACTTTGTCTCTTCATCTCCAGAATCTAACTTAGTGCAGGGTATAGAAAATCTATGTGGTTACAAATTAACCAACAAATGAGAGTCATGGTGAAGGAAGAAGAGGCCAATGGGAAAATGAAAGAAAGAAAAGGAGGGCTTCCAAATACCTCCAGGAAAGGGACATCATTAAACAATAGTTCTGATTGATAAGCAATTGGGCTCCAAACCTTGGTGATCACATGTCAAAAGTAACAGGGAAACAAGGCTACCTCTTGGCACTCCTCTTGGCAAGTCAGGATTTGAAAGGAGAGAAGCAAAACTTTCAGTGCCTGAAAAGACTCCATTTTCTAAAGAGAGAGAGAAAAAGAAGGTGTGGAGTCAGGGTGGGGAGAAGTTAGGGGAAGGTAAATCTTGATTAAAATATGTTATATTAAAATATTTTTAATTTTAAAAAGTAGACTTTAAAGGTAGGGGCTGGGAGTGAGGCTCTGATCAAAGGTAAAAGACATGTGCTCCTCACACCTTTAGAAAGGCAGAATGAGTTTAAGAGGATCATCTGACTTGAAAAGGGGCTCAAGTTGCTGTGAAAAGAAGCCTCTTTATACTTGGAATGTTTAATAGATAAAAACTCTTGAAAACTCTCAAATTTTAATAACCAAAGGGAATGGATATATACCAACAATCATGTTTGATAATTATGGGCTTATTAGCTGTAGACATTGCTCTACAGGCAAAAGCACGTATTGTAGCAGAGAGGGCGCCAGCATCTAGTTTCCAGCACCTACATCAGGTTGCAATCCAATACCCTTTGGCCTTTGGGAGCACCTGCATATACAGGGTATACATAAATTCACCAAGTACTCATACATTTAAATAAAGTATATAAATATTTTAAATATATTTAAAGCATTTTATTATTTCAATTTCTTTTTATCAGTCTCATACAAGCATATTAGCTAAATCATTAATCATTTTCTTGCCACAATTTTCAGAGGCTACTGTTAACAAGTGCAAATGTACTAATAAATGTTCCCTACTATGTCTTGTTACCTAATTGTTTTGCATAATTTAATAATGTTTTGAGAAATTCAAACAAGTAGAAGTGGAGTGATAAATGAAAATTAAACAATAATACTTCAGACTCCTAGTTTTTAAAACATCAACCAAGTAAGGGGCTCCTAAACACTTTTAGATATGTATATTTTCCAAGTTTAGAGTACATAAAGTCACAGTCAATGTCTGTAGATGCAAGGGAACTTCTATTACTAATTAACATAAATCTTCATCTCACAAATCAAAAAGTCTACAGTCTATAAGTAACTTACACTCATTAGAGTAGGTGGTTGCCAAAGCACCATTGTTAACAGAAAGGTCCATCCGGTAAATAATTACACTTCCATTAGGAAGATGGGTACCAGTTCCTCTCACTTTTGTGGAGTGCAAGTTGATGAAAAGGTTTCACCCTGCCATTACAGCATTTGGTACAGGGACAGGTTCATCCAAAATGAACAAGCAATTCCGAGTCATAGCTTCTCTGAAAATGTTATATCACTAGTAATGCAATTGTACCTGAGTCAGAATATCAGATGCTGAAGAGGACTTCACATAGAAGGGTTTTGACCTTATGGTGGACACTATTCCCTCCTGAGTGCAGCTTGAGTTAACTTTCCATGCTCATTTCACAAGTAAGTAAGACTGCATGTGCTGCTGCTTACATGAGAAAGATCATGCCTGTGGCTGCATGGAGTAAAAATGGAATCACTATTGTTAGTCCATCTTTTACAAATACTGTTTATATACATATATCATTATTTTTCACTGGACCCATTGAATTATGTTACTTTTCTACAGAAGAATTTACTTTTAAGTATCATCATTTTGAAGACAAAGGGAAAAAAACCCACTATTCCTTACTGAAATTCAGATATTGCAGTTTTGACTTACATCTCAAGAATCTAGTAAAATAAGCAAGTAACATCAGGAGGAAAACTTCAGTTCCTTGTCCTTAATACTGGATCACACTGCTTCTTGGAAAATAGGCTGGAGAAGGTGAGGTAATACAATAACCAGCAAAGGGCAGGAGCCTGTCGTACATACATGTGCCCTGTTCTGAAAGAATGATGTCATGCTGCCAAGTCTAATACAGAGCATGCTCATTCACACACAAGCTAACTGATATTTAAGGAAAATTTTAAGAACTTTCCTGCTGCACCTCTGTTTTCCCCCCAAGGAGATAATATGGGAAAAAAACATGCAGAGAAAGGAAATACATTCAATGAAAAGTCATAACAAGAAGTACCAATCTAATATAACCAGCATTTACAGGTTTCAGGGTCTGATAAGAAACTCAAATTGCCACATTCTATTAGAGAAAATACCATCTCTTTGCTTAATCTGCTGTTCTGTCTATAGAGCATGGAGTAAAGTGATCTGGCAATTTTATGCTCAGTTTAATTGATGTAAATAATAAAAATGCACAATTCAAGTTAAAAAGTAATATGAAACAGCCTGTTGAAGCTTCCACACTGGGAAAATTAATGAGATTAAATAACTCAAATTCATCTTCATGAACTACAAGTCTTCTCAGACAAGCACAGGACAAAGTCAGCAAGAGTAGTATTTCATAGAATGTTCAATAGCCAGTATATTTCTGAAACAAAGATAGACTTTACTAACATCAAAAACATTTAAGAACATTTGGCAAGATAAGCTGGGATGTAGTGTGGGGCAGACCACCTTTATCCCTTCTACACAGTCGATATAGAACAGTACTCCAACGTTATACCATTCCATTGTTTTTGTTTGTTTGCTTGTTTTTTTACAAAGAAGAAAAAGCACTGCTGGTGGCTACATTGACAACTGCTCATGGAGAGTGTCTGCTATGTTTTGTCATTTGAGTAGAGGATGGATCTAATTGAAGCATCAGATATTTCTATGCTGCAATGCGGTATATTATTGCTAGCCCTCCACCCTTGACAAGGAATACAGGCAATGTTATAAACTCTTCTGACTTACTTTAATATCAACAGACTAGAAAAAACAAATCCATGTGTTGAATATTCCATTGGCCACCAGTATAATAGGTTTATAATAAAAATTTTCATTCATCTTTAATAGACCAAATATACATTCATATGAAGAATTATTATATATTTTTGATCTTTACTATTTTAGTTATTTACAGTTTTCTTGAGCCAACTCGCTAAGGTGCTACTTTGCATTAACTAAAGAAAATTAATCTAATATTTGTGACATCAAACAGAAACAGTGTAATGATAGGTAAAAGCCAAGAGATAAATGAGGAACATTGCAATAGAGGAGTATATTCAAGATAAACAGGGATAAATTTATCATGATAATGATGGCAGGAAAAACTGTTAAATCCAGATAGCAAAGGTGTCCTATGACACTGTAATGTGGATACATAAAGTAGAGTAAGCACATAAACCTGGACAGACACTGCCCTATTTAACTTTCCTGCTAAGTGTTATGAGGAAGAACTTAATGTGATGAAGAAACTCAAACTGAAAAATCAAATAAACTATCCAAGGCCATGACTATAAGTGACAGAGTCAGAATCTGGCCTGTTAACATCTGGGTAACTCCAAAGCGTGTTCTTGGAGCCACAATAAAATTGCTAAGAAATTTGGGTTTCAGCCTACAAATAATGGACACATACTGTTCTGTTCTTACAACATTCTGTGAGTTAAGTAATGGAAAGTGTGATTGCTGTTTTATGGCTAGAGAAACCAAGAAAGATTACTAACTTAAGGCAAGGGAAACAATAGATTCCAAGGACCCAAACCAAGACTCATGCTGGTTTTACATGGTTGGCAAAAAGTACTTTCTAAATATTTGGAGTGTTTTCAATGATTACATAGCTTCAAATATGGAACTTTCAAGAGCACATTCCCAGTCAAATACAATTCCCAGAAAAACTTTGCTGTTCATAGCCAATTAGTTGCTCTTTTGTGATGTCAGTCTGAGAAATCCAAAATATCTAGTGTGACCAAGATAGACCCAGTCAATGGTTTCTGTGCAGTAGCCACTGCCATGCTGAACCACAAACCCCAATATAATGTAAGTAACTGAAAAACAGTGCTCTAAGAATTCTCTTTGGTGTAGCAATAACATTCCTTGTGTGTGATTATAATTGCTGCAAAGAATTTAAACAATCAACTCTTAAACTTATAACCACCATTTAGTCATATCTAATGGAAGTATAAAACCTTGTCTCAAATGTTTTTGTAACTAAAACACAGTAATACTTTTATTGTTCAGATCAAAACTAATAATTAGAAGAGGACTGCTTATTTATAACAGTAATTTAACATTACTCACCCTAGAATATATATAAAAATTCTGCTCACAAAGCAAAGCAGATGCACAAAGAGCCATATTTATTCCTCAGATATGCCACAAAACATTCTTTATGCTTCACAGGATAAAGAAATAGCAGCTTCCTCTGAAAAAGATAGAAATAGAACTCACATGTGCATACCCACACACCCCCCCACACACACACATGCACATGTGTGTTTCAAGGGGAAACTAAGACTTAGAGGAGTTAAAATGTTTTGTAATGTTTACAAACTAGACACGAAGGTCTAAGATAGTAAAGACTCTCAGATACTAGAAAAAGAAATAAAGGAGAAAGAAGTGATACAAAGAATCTTAACATGTATTTAAATGAGTAGAGTTTATTTTTAAAACAAGTGTAAAATGTATATATGCCAAGGAAGAGAATAATACATGAAAAATTTAGATAATGGAGATAATATATGCAAAATATGGCAAACAAACGTAGGAACAGAAGTCTTGTGTCAACTTGACACACAAACTAGAGTTATCTGAAAGGAGAGAACCTCAATTGAGAAAATGCCTCCATAAGATCTGGCTGTAAGGCATTTTCTTAATTAGTAATTGATGGGTAAGGGTCCAACCCATTGTGGGTGTTCCCATCCCTGGGTTGGTGGTCCTGGGTTCTATAAATAAAAGCAGACTGAGCAAGACAGGGAAAGCAAGCCAGCAAGCAGCACCCCTCCATGTCCTCTGTATCAGCTCCTGCCTCCAGGAACTACCATTTGAGCTCCTGCCCTGCCTTCCTTCAGTGATGAGCAATGCTATGGAAATGTAAGCCAAATAAAACCCTTTCCTCCCCCAATTTGCTGTTTGGTCATGGTGTTTCATCACAGCAATAGAAACCATGACTAAGACAGAAGATAACCTCAGAATGACAAAGCATGTCAAAAGAACTATAGCTTTTGCACACAGGTGTGATGCTTTCTGATATCAGGAACAAAAGGATACCCTTCTCACTACTCCTATTCATCCTTGCACTAGAAGTTCTAGTTAATGTTGTAAGACAAAAAAGAAAATGGGAATAATAAATTGGAGATAATAAAACTGTTATTTTTTAGATGACATGACTATGTGTGTGGAAATATCTCAAACAAACAAACAAAAAATCTTGGAACTAAAAAGCAAGTATATCTAGGTCACAGAACTTCACCAATTGGTAAAGGCAAGAGAATCATTAGGGCTGAATTAGGGTTGGGGTGAGAGGCCAGAGTAAAGAATGAAACTGGGGGAAGGGAGGAGAGGGGAAGGGAGGGGGAGAGAAAATGGATAATGGGGCAACAATGCCTCTTGCAGACAGCTAACAAATAAAAGGCCCAATATCAAGAATGATTTACTTCTTTTGGGGTTGTTAGCCAATGAGGTCCCACAGGCCCTCAATGCCATGATTCCCCTCTAGAACTTGAAAGTAAGAACTTGAGTCACAGAGTGTGAGAATTCAAGCTGGTACTGAACTTGAAGCTTCATCCCGATACGATATATTTTTATGGTACTGAAAGGCAATTCGAATGCTACCAGAGGTGAAAATTAACCATCAGTTTTACCCAACTGTGATCCCCCCATGAGCTATAGTAACAGCTAGCCTGGCAAGACATACTCACTGGTACAATAGTGTCATAAACTCATGGGGATAACTAGCCACTTTCCAATTGGATTAAAGTCCTGTTCCAGAAGATGAAATTCATATCTGACACTATTATCAGGTCTATAGCTAAACAGAGTATAGGCTCTAGGGAGAACCCACCTTTATTATTCTGCTAAGTGGACATTGTATTAAACTGACACCTAGTGACTTACTGTGTTTCCCATATATTAAGGAATTATCAGCTCTCATCAGAAAAGCTTGTATTTTCAGAAGATGGTGTTAACATAGACCTATAGCTGGTCAAGGCACAGAGAATAAGTCACTGCAGAAAGCTCAGCCCCACATGAGGCATCTGTATCAGTCATACCCACTCCTCCCAAAGATCATAAGAACCAGAGGTGGTGGATAACCACAAGGAAACAGTGTGTTATCAACACAGCCAAGCAGTTGCACATGTGAACTCACAACAATTATGACAGTAGACACAAGACCTGTGCAAGCTCAAGTCAGACCAAATCCCAACAAGAAGAGGAGAGGTGAGCACACAGTCTCATCCCTAGCTGAGGCACAGTCTTATCCCTAGCTGAGAGCTCTTCTAACTGATAGCTGCTGGGAGAATGAGTGTCAGTTTTCTTTAATGGTTTGATTACCCCCACTCCATGGTAGGTTAATCAACTCAAGGGGAAAGACACACACCTGAGAATACATGGGCAGCACAAATTAGACTTGATGGGTTAAGAAAGAAAGAAAGAAAGAAAGAAAGAAAGAAAGAAAGGAGGGAGGGAGGGAGGGAGGACAAAGAGAGAAGAGAGGATGAAATTGAATTGTTAGAAAAACTAGAAGTAGATTTGAGATGATTTGAGATGAGATGGAGTGGGCAGTGAATATAATCAAAACACATTCTATCAAATTCTGGAAGAACTGATAAAAATATTAGAAAAAATTCACACAAAAAATAAAACTCCACTTTTTAGTTATCATCAAAAATTAGTTAATTAAATTAGTTAATTAAAAATAAAGTTACTGGGAAATCAGCATAGGAATGATCCAGACCCCCATGAATGTGGGTGTCAGTGAGGAGGCCTCAGAAATCTATGGGACCTCTTGTAGTAGATCAGTACTTATCCCTAGTGTAGGAATACACTTTGGGAGCCCATTCCACATAGAGGGATACTCCCTGAGCCTACACACATGGGGGAGGGCCTAGGCCCTATCCCAAAGGATGTGACAGACTCTGAAGACCCCCCATAGAAGACTTTATCCTCTTTGGGGAGTAGAAAGGGTATGGGATAGGTAGGGTATCCTACCTATCCTACCTATCCTAGGGTAGGGTATCCTACCCTATGTAGGGGAGGAGGGAAGGGAGAAGGAACTGGGATTCACATGTAAAACAATCGTGTTTCTAATTTAAATTTAAAAAATGGGAAAAGTAAAAAAAAATAAACACATAAATAAATAAATAAATAAAAATAAAGTTACTAAAGAGTAGGAATGGGCTCCTGAGTCACACACTCCTAACAGAGAAGCTGTAGGCAGTATACAGTCTCTGGGAAAGGAAAGGGCAGTCTTTTAAAGGCTATGTTCTCTGGGAGGTTGGCCAGGCTCCAGTGGGTGGTCGCATGCCTTGTACGTATGTAGGCAATAGAAATTGGACTTGATTGTTCATTAAGAAACAAACAAACAAAACCACTATGCATGAAGTTGGGGAGAGAAGGGGGAAGATCTGTGAGGAGTTAGGGGAGGAGTGAGGCTTAATATGATAGAAATCCATTGTATGAAATTCTCAAAGAATTAATAGAAATCATATATGCTTATAAAAATTTAAAGCTGAAGAATAAACAATTTATATTAGGACCATATGTATATATGCACACATATTATATATTATAATATATAATATGTTTTTTCTATATGAAGAAAAAACAACTTTGATGGAAGAAATAAGAAAATCCAAATAAATGGAAAGCATTGTGTTCATAGACTGAAACACTCATCTTTTTTTTTTCCAGACAGGGTTTCTCTATGTAACAGTTCTGGCTGTCATGGGTGCTTTGTAAACCAGGCTGGCCCTGAACTCCCAGAGGCCTCTGCCTCCCAAGTGCTAGGATTAAAGGCATATACTATCACCACACAGGTGAAACACTTATCATGAAACCCACAGAAACAGCTGACCTGAACAAGAGAGAGCTCTTGGTCCCCAGACTGATAGCTGGGCAACCAGCATGGGACTGATCCAGACCCCCTGAATGTGGGTGTCAGTTAGGAGACCTTGGAAATCTATGGGGCCTCTTGTAGTGGATCAGTACTTATCCCTAGCATAGGAATGGACTCTGGGAGCCCATCCTACATGGAGGGATACTCCATGAGCCTAGACACAAGGGGGTTGTCCTAGGCCCTATCCCACAGGATATGACAGACTTTGAAGACCCCCCTATTGAAGGCCTCACCCTCCCTGGGGAGCAGATACGGTATGGGATAGGTAGGGTATTAGTTGGGGGGGCAGGGGAGAGAGACGGACCTGAGATTAATGTAAAATAATCTTCTTTATAATTAAAATTAAAATAAAAAGATGTCAATTCTTCTAGGCTTGGTCTACAGTTTCAGTGCACAACAAAAACTCCATAGGTTATAAATAAAAACGTTTAAAGAAATCCATGCATAATGGCATAAGCCTGTAAATCTCATTACTTGGGAGTCTAAGGTAGAAGAATTGCATGAGGCTACCGTGGACCACATAGTAAGGCTTTATTTCAGTGTGTGTGTGTGTGTGTGTGTGTGTGTGTGTGTGTGTGTAAGCTCTAGAATTGCCACCACAATACTAAAGAAGAAAGTAGGACTGTCATAGCCACCGCTCTATTGCTGTGAAGAGACACTACGACCAAGGCAACTCTTATAGAAGAAACTGTTAAATTGGACTGGCTTACACTTTCAGAGGCTGACTCCATTTCATCCTGGTGGGACATGATGGCAGGCAGGCATGGTGCTGGAGAAGTAACTAAGAGCTACATCCTGAATCACAAGTAGAGAAAGAGGGAGAGAGATACAGATTGGGCCTGGCATGGGCTTTTTAAACCTCAACACCCCCCACCTCTGTGACACACTTCATCCAACAAGGCCACACTTCCTAATCCTTCTCAGTAGTGTTACTCCCCAGTAACTCAGAATTCAAATATATGAGCCTACAGGAGCCATTCTTAGTTAAAGCGTTACAAGGGTCAATACTGCCAAATTTGGAGTTAAGTGACAGTGACTATAATAATGTAGAATTGGTGGCATACTATATGGTAAAACAGAAAAGATAGTAGAAACTAACCTACAAATACAATCATCTGACTTTGGCTAAAGCAGAAAGGACAACTAAACCCAAAAGGGTGGTTTTGTCCATAAATGTTGCTTAAAAATGTGTTCATATGCAAAAAAATCTAGATTCATACTTTACACTTGCCATTAAAAACTTACTCAAAGTGTATCACAGACTTCAATGTAAAAATGAAAACCTAAAACTTTCAGAAGAAAACATAGGAAAATAGATATTTGTGTATTGTGGTTTAATGATGAATTTTGTACATCAAAAGTACAACCCATAAAAAGTGAAAATCATAATTCAGAATCAAGATTTCTTCTGTATGAAAGACAATGTAAAGAAAAACAACAAACCACACACTAGAATTAAAAACTGCAAAATAAATATCCATTAAGAGAATAAATATCCATTAAGAGACTTTTATCCAAAATGTATTTAAGACTCTTAAAAATCAATTAAAGAACGGATCAACTTTATAAATTGACAAAATTGGAGCAAGCACCTCACCAAAAGTCAAAATCATATGGAAAGTAAATCTAGGTTTAACATAATTCATCTCTGGAGAGTTGCAAATTAAAACTAGATGTAGATACCTCAGAATGGTTAAAATCTATAAATAGAAAACACCTATTTTGTTGGCAAGGGTGCAAGACATTGCAACTCTCATTCATAGATGGTGGGTTCAAATACTTTGGAAGATACACACTCTGCAAAGGTAAATACTTTTATAATCTGATCTAATAATTGCACTCCTATGTATTTACCTCATAGAACTCTTTATGTCCACACAAAATAACAACACACAAATGTTTACAGAAGCTTTAAACAGTCATGTAGAATATAACCATTTATGATCACTAGAAACTGGAAGCAACTAAGAATTCTTCAATGAGTGAATAGACAAGCAAACTGTGATATAGTCCTATAATGGAATGTTATTCAGCAATAAAAAGATATAAACCCTAAGATAATGAAAAGTTATACAGAGTTTTACCTGCATTGTTACAAGTGAAAGTGAGCAGTATATGCCCTGATCTCAATTATATCACATTTTGTAAAAGTCAAAGCTGGTGCTATATAATTTTTTTAAATGGTCTTCAGCAATAAGGTCTTATAATCAAGCTCTGGTGGCCAACCAGGAGAATACGATTTTCCAGAGTGCTCAGCCATAAATGATATGTCTATACCACACCCCTTCCCAAGGTTTGAGCATTAAAGCAAAAAAGGGTTGGAAAGATTCTAAGAGCAAGAAGTCAGAAAGGACTGAAGCAAAACAGTGTCTTCTGGACATGACAAGACAACTACACTCATGAATTGTGGTCATCTATACAGATATGAACAAGATCAACCCAGTCAACATTCTAGCATAGGGGAGGAAGGGGTTCCTGAGCCCTCATCCCTAACTGTGCAGCTTTAGACAACAGATGACTTCTACAAGAAGGGAAGTTCTCTTCTTTTAAGAGTGTGGCTCTTGGTAAGTCAATCACTCTCCAGTGTGTGGCCCCCACATGGATGAATTTGTGGTTAGTACAAATTGGAGTTTATGGATTAATAAATTAAAAATGTAAAAATATAAATATTTCAAAAGAGGATACAAAGTTTGGGGTAGGGTGTTAAGCATGGATATTGGAAGAGAAAGGGAAGGAATTGGGGTGAGGATGATCAAAGCACACTGTATGAAATTCTCAAAGAATTTTTTATGAAAACATTATTAAATAGCCTATTGGTTATGGGGGAAGGAGGCATGAAGGTTAAAAACATACAGCAGCATAGATAGTTTGTGCCAGTAAAATGATTCTAAACATTACTAACATGATAGCTACATGACATTATACAATTTCCCAAAGAGTAAGCTTAAAGTTATAAAAAAAATTGTAAACACAATTTAAGAAGTCAGGGGATTCTAGGGTGGAATGAGAAAAGGCAATGATGAATGAGAAAAAGCAACCTAATTGGATTGACCATGTATCCAACAGCTTCACAGAAGACAGAAGGGGAACAGTATCAGCATAAATAAATTTAATGAGAAGATGTACTAGTGCAGGTAGAAACTGTCATAAGTACTAGACACGTGTTAGTAACATTGTCTCTCCTGGGAGAAAATTCAGTTATCACTACAAATAATAAAACAATTAAAAATGAGTGACAGTTGTGGGAGCAAGGATCTTTATCATTACTGCAGGAGGTAAAGACTAGAGAAGACTGTGCTGCCTATGTGCCGATGGGTTAGAGCTGGCAATATCAGTATGAACAGTGTGCTATAGGCATGTGATACATAAATAAAATGTACTCATATATGTGTATGCACATGCATTTTCTTTTATCAGCTTAGAGGAAATTACCATAACAAAAGCATCTACATAGTATCTGGAGGATTTTTTGCTTATTTATCCTATGTCCAATAAAAAGAATCAGGACTCTTTAGAGATATGGCTGATTTTAGAACTGAGATGGGAAACAAGTGAGATGAGCCTGAGGCACCTTGTTGTCCCAGAATGCAAAAGAAGAAGAAGATAAGAAAGAGAAGCAGGAATTGGGGGAGCAGTCATCATGATGTCTGCAATGGCTTGATGACAGAGGGTATGCAAAAGGAATAAAAACATCAGCTGAACAATCTTGTTTCTAATTTAAATTTAAAAATGGAGAAAAAGAAAATAGCTCTTGATATGGAATAAGACTGAAATGTTTTAAAAGCAAAATTTGGTGCTTTTTTGTTATAAGAATTAAAGTTTCTTTAGAAAATATAAATAAATAAATAAATAAATAAATAAATAAATAAATAAATAAAGTTATACGAAATGAAAAAAATGTCAGCTGAAAATACTAATGGATAAATGGAAACATTTGGACAACAAAATAAATGAAACTGTATTAGGTTATAGGCAAATTGAAAAAACAACACTCCACAAGTAACTGACTAAATAAATACCTAAGTATTTGAAAACAAGGAAAACATGGAAACAAAGGAAAACACAAAATTCTCTGGCAGAATAATTATAAATAGTGACCATAGATACTGCACCCCTCAAAAGAGGTTGACCATAATTCCCCAGTCTATTCGAGCTAGACAAATTCCCTTCCAGAGATGATACACAGAAGGTAAGAAGAACTAGAGAACACAACAAACATGACCTTAGATACGTGACTCAGACCATCACTAATGATTCTGATAATTGTGTTGATAGAACATACCTTTGACATGATGCATTGACAGTGGCACATACCATATGATTTCCCTCACAAATACCTGTAACTCTATGCTAATAGTGATTTTTTGTTTGATTGATTTTTGGGTTTTGGTTTTCCTCTTTTTCACCCTTTTATTGAAAATATTTTTTGTCTCACATAATAAATCTTAATTATGATTTCCCATCAGTCCTCTCAGTCACTTTCCCTTTCCCCTTCCCCTCCCCATCCCATCTGGCTCTATATCCATTCTGTCTCTCATTAGAAAATAAACAGGCTCCTAAGGTCTAATAATAAAATAAATATAATAAGATAAAACAGAAACTATCAGAATAGGAAAAAAAGAAAAGGCACATGAACAGATACAAATACAAACAGATAATAACCACTCATTCAGACACTCAGGGAATTCCCTAAAAACACAAACTAGATGTCATAATATATATGCTAAGATAGCATTGAGTTGATTTCTGTTGGCCATCTACTGCTGGGCATACAGCCTACCCTTAACAGTAGTTTGCTTCCTTGCTCCCTCAGAGAAAACTAAATTTTCATTTGCAAGTGGTTATCAATTGGAGGTTGCATCTGGATTAAGGATGAGGACATATTTTCACTTCTCCTTTCAGTTCTAGGGCAGACCTGTGCAGGCCCTGTGCATACTGCTTCAGTCTCTGTGAGTTCATGTGTGTCCATCCTACTGATTTAAAGGGCCTTATTTTCCAGGTGTCCTCCATCCCCTATAACTCTTATATTCTTTCTGCTTCTGGGTTCACAGGGAATGCCTGCTGAAGTTGATTGGAGGCTAGGATAAAGCAATGAGTGTCATGATCTATTTCTTCAATCAAGCAAAATTCCAATTGAGGGACACTCTGTAACGTATTTAGGAGTGTTTAAGTCTGTTAAGATCATCAAAAACATGGGAGGTCTGAGAGAGTGTTAGCAGCACTGAGGAGACTAATGACAAATAACAATGAGCTATAATATGGTCTTGCACAGCAAAGAAAAGCTATTAAGCGACACTATTTCAGTCACATACAAGTTGTAGTTGGTAATGTACTGTACTGGCTCACTACATCTAACAAATGTAATACACAAACATAAAGTGTGAATATAGAATCTGCATGGGATAAAGGGTGTGAGGAAAATATTAAAGAAATTTTCTATGCTACCTTTATAATTGTTCTCTAAATCTAAAATTAAAAATAACAACAGCAAAATAAAAATAAATTTTTAAAGCTTATTTACATTACAATATAACATTTCAAGTTCTAAAATATAAAGCCTTACATGCTGAAAAAAGAAAACACACAACTCAAACTAAGAATAGGCAAAGTCTATAAACAGTATATTCACAGGAACCAAATGACCATAAAATTAGCAAGTCAACCAACCAAAAGAAAACACTGGCCTTATCTGATGTCAAAGGGAAAGAAAGATTAAAACATTGTACTGTTTCTTAAATATCAGTTTGTTCTATAATTAAAAGAGTAAAAAATATCCAGTGTTTATGAGGATGTGAAATTGCTGGACGGCACATTAATTTTGACATTTTGCAATTAATGGGGCAACATCTATCACAATAAAAAGCATATACACTTTGCCTTAGCATTTATACTTTAGGGTATCTATTTTGCTGCAATAAAAGCATCACAATGAGAAGATACATGCATGATGCAACATCATAATGTTGCAAAACAATAGTTACAAATGAGAAATCCATTAGTAAGACAATGCTTAAGGAAATCCACATACTATAAACTATAAGCTATTATGCAGCTGTTAGAATGTGAGATATGTTTGCTAACCTGGAGAGAGGCCATGAGATTACTCTGAAAGAAAAAAGAAAATGGGAAAATGAGAAGGTATCTTTAAATTTTCCTATATATGAATCTATGTGTGAATATTTATAGGATCATATACTATTATGATCTATTAACTTGTTACCATGCAATAGGATGCAGTCCTACCTACAACCTCTTGACAATCTGTACATATGTACATACTAAAATAAAATAAAACCCAAGAACACTTTTCATGATTTTTCAGGGAGGTGTTCAGAAATAATGAATTCTGGAGCTTCAATAACTGACCTGCAGGGATTCTTATCCAGCAGAGCTTCTACAACACATCCAAGTTGGAAGGTACTCTCCCTGGAACCACAGTAACCTACTTCCTCTGTCAAGAGAAAAATCAGCAAGTGGTTTATTATCATCAGTGACCTATATGAAAGAAATGACCCCAATAAGTCTGCATATTGTAACGTGAGCAAGATTATTAGCTTCCTAGAAACTGGGATGAGTGCTCATGGCCTGTAATAATTCTGAGCACTTTAGAAGTTAAAATAAGGTTCTGTATGTAAGAACCAAATCATGGGGCTGGAGACACAGCTTAGTGGTAAGCACTTGCTGTTCCTCCAAAAGACCTGACCTCAGTTCCCAGGACCTGCATCAGGAGGCTCACAACTGTAAGTAACTGCAATGACCCCACCAGGCTGGGACCCAGATAGGTCCTTGTCACTCTCTTTCTGTGACCCACTACAACTTCTCCTGTCTCATCCCTAGCCCTGTAAGTAGCCTGATCACAAGGGCCTATCTCTCCATCTACCCTCTACTCTAGAGGACTCTACCAAACTTTGCAGTGGACCCAGCTTTCCTCCTTCCTGTCAACCTTCCCAGTGGTGCCCTCTAGACCATCTCCCTTCCTTCATATCAGTCCCTGGTACCTAGAAACACTTTTTACCTAGGATGCTCAGTGGCCACACCTGGTAAGCAAATCACATTATCTTTCTTATACTCTGTTATGGTTTTTCCATTCTCACACGCAGCACAGTAACAGCCTGATTACAGTTGCCCCTCTTCCCATTTTTACTTCATTCATTGGAGATGCCAAGTGTTCATTTAGAACTGGGATCCCCTTAGGTCTTTCAGCTTTGTCTCTCCAGTTAATTCTTTGTCTTACTGTAACTTACTTGTAGGATCCACTCTTCCCACCATACCTCTATCTCCCTGCAAACCCCACTCCTAAGTATGAACAGGATCCCAGTAGCTCTTTTCTAAAGACCCTCACAGAGCAGCATATACAAGATCGGAACAGATCCAGGCCAGATGGGGTCCCAGTACTGAGAAGGGAACTGGACAGGAGCAGCCATCACTAATCCAATTGACAACTAATCACTAAGAAAAGAATCTAGTAACTGCTGGTACATAGAGATATTCAGAATTAACATTTATTGGTCACATTCAGAGTACAGCAAACATTTTTCTTCAAATGAAATTGTGCTTGTTTGTTCCAGCCAAGCCTTCCAGTCTCTCTGCTGAATTGTAAGAGAAGAGGAAATGGTGGATTTCTTTTCTCTACTCTTGAGTTTTCTCTACATTAGAATATGCTTTGGGATCTCTTTGTGAAATACAGAACAGCAGGAAGAAAACTGTGCCTCCCTGTTGTCTCTTCCTTCCTTCCTACTCCTTCTTCCTCCCTCTCACTCTCTTTTTTTCCCCCTCTTTTTCTTCCTCAGTTCTTTTAAAAATTTCCCTTAGTAGTTTTGGAAAGCATGCTTCTTCCAGGTATTTAAATTTCTCAAAAAATCATTATTTGTAATAATGCATTTAGTAATCTCTCTGCCTACATTCTGTACATGTTTTAATGATGAGGATCAAACCCAAGGATTTCATATATGTTAAGCAAGTGTTTTACTAACAACTGAGTTACACCCTCTAGAAGTTTTAAATAAATTAAGGTGAATTATCTTGGAAATAATTGCAAATTTTGCTTATTATGCTCTCCTTGTTCTGCAATTTGACATTTGATAGTAATGCTAAATTATTCTAACCTGTTTTAAAGGCTTAGGTCATTGATTGACCTGTTTAAATGCCTAAGCAAATGAAGTTTTGGACTCTTTAGAGCTCTAACATCAAAATATGTAAATCAATCAACCTTCAAAACTAGGAAGCAAACTCATTTCATCATCACTCTTTAAAAGTAAGTAAAGACTAGAATCAAAGCTTTGTATCCAACTGTGTTCAAATTTTGACTTTCCATATGTGGATCCTAGCTTCAAAATTACAGATTAGTGTGTTTAATTTGGAGTGTCTGTAGAAGCCAAGACACTAGAAAGAACCCATGAGAGAAGAAAGGGAAGAGGCTATCACCAGAGGGGAAATTACCCAGGGTAGAAAGATTTAGATGGGGGTGAGGGAGGAGGGATGGAGAACAGTGGAAGGTAAGCGAAAGCTAAGTGTAATAGTGAAAAATAGGAAAGTGAAGTGGGTACCTTTGGTTGGGCCCTGCCAAGATATGCCACTTAGCAAACAGCCCGTGTATAACAGAGCTAGTGCAAGAGATTCATTGGGGGAGGGAGGGAGAGATTGTAAAAGGGCCATAGGCAGTGTTGGAGAGGGAACATGAGAGAGGTGGGCGGGTGGGCAGGCAGCAGGCAGACAGAGACAGACTGACCAGAGAAGAAGAGCAAGAGACAAGAAAAGTAAGAGAGGAACAAGAAGCAAGAGAGCTATGCCTGATGGACACTTTTAAAGAGTGTGCATAGCTGACAGTGGAAAGGCACCTGGCAACATGATGGAACTCTTGGCAGCTGAGGAAGGCTGCTGTAGGGCAGAAACTAACAATAGGGATGCATGAAAAGCTACATGGAAGGCTCTACATGGTAGGCTAAATTTTTTTAGTGTAATTTTTAAAACAGGATTTAAATGGAGGTATCCCACAAGGATGAATAATGCTTAATCCCCAAATCCACAGGTTATTAAACAAAAACCCTAGTGTCAGGGCCTGGAGAGATGACTTGTTGCCAATTGCAGAGGACCTGAGTTCAGTTCCCAGCACCAATGTGAGTGGCTCTGAGAGGTCAGACACCAGCAGGCAAGACTAATATCATTTTAGGCTGGACACCATCTTGAGAAGCTGCTGACCAGAACCTGAACATAGTTCCCGGAAAAGAACACAAATAGCTAAAAGTAGCTCCAGGGTCCCCATGTCCTGCTTAATCAGACTGACTCTGAGGAAATACATCTTATCATGGTCACCTGATGTCCCAATGGTCACCAGATGCTCTAAAGGAAATTTCCAAATGCTTACTTAACCCCAGGGTCAGTCCACCCAGGAAGCATCCAACCTGAACTACTCAGAAAATGACAAGGCTTGCACTCCCCTAGCTTAGGGTTTTTCCCTTTATAAGCTCACTCCCCTGCTGCTTCAGGGCCACTCGACTCACCCACTGTGTAGGAGTGCTGACAGCCCAAACTTTGTTTTTTTAATAAACCCCTGTGTGTTTGTATCAGTACTTGGCTCTGATGTTTGTTTGCTTTTGGGGGGGGGGGGCAGGGGCTCCTGAATCGTGTACATAACAGCTTATAAACTACCTGTAACTTCAGCTCCAGGGGATCTGATGTCTCTTCTGGTCTCTTCATGCCCCTGGATGCACACACATACACACACACACACACACACACACACACACACACATGAATAATAATAACAACAACAACTTACCAAACAGAACACAATCCCAAGCATAAGAAGCCTCACTCCTAGTTATTCAGAGGCCCTTAACTGTTAACATTGTTCCCCCACTAAAACTAGATGGTAAAACCCTATTGTTTAAGATACCACATACTTTGGCTGTAGGACATAGAGAAGAAATCAAGGTGGAACAGACCTAGAAGTTTCCTTCCTGCTGCCAGCTGTCACAGTATGAGAAGGTGCTAGGCCCATTGAGGGAGAAAAGTCTTCAGTGGTCTTACCCAGTGGTGGACTGTGCATGCCACAATACTGACCTGGCAGGTAAGGTCTGCTCACTGGTATAATAGTAGCATAACTGTTGTGGAATTTCAAGATTCCGTTGCTTTTTTCTGCTGAGTAGTACTCCATTGTGTAAATGTACCACATTTTCCCTATCCATTCTTCAGTTGAGGGGTATCTAGGTTGCTTCCAGGTTCTGGCTATTACAAACAATGCTGCTATGAACATGGTTGAACATATGTCCTTGTTGTGTGAACGTGCATTATTTGGGTATATTCCCAAGAGAGGAATTGCTGGATCTTGAGGTAGACTGATTCCCATTTTCCAAAGCAACCACCATACTGATTTCCAGAGTGGTCTTACAAGTTTGCACTCCCACCAGCAATGGAGCAGTGTTCCTTTTTTTCCACATCCTCTCCAGCATAGATTATCATTGGCGTTTTTGATTTTAGACATTCTGGCTGGTGTAAGATGGTATCACAGAGTTGTTTTGAGTTGCATTTCTCTAAGGATTTTGAGCACTTTCTTAAATGTCTTTCAGCCATTTTAGATTCTTCTGTTGAGAATTCTCTATTTAGTTCTGTGCCCCACTTTTTAATTTCACTGATTGGTGTTTTGGTGGCTAGCTTCTTGAGTCCATTGTATATTTTGGAAATCAACCCTCTGTCAGATGTGAAGATCTTTTCCCATTCTGTGGGCTGTTGTTTTGTCTTACTGACTGTGTCCTTTGCCTTACACAAACTTCTCAGTTTCAGGAGGTCCCATTTATTAATTGTAGATCTCAATGTCTGTGCTACTGGTGTTATGTTCAGAAAGTGGTTTCCTGTACCAATACGTTCAAGGGTATCACCCACTTTCTCTTCTAGAAGGTTCAGTGTGGCTGGATTTATGTTGAGATCTTTGATCCATTTGGACTTAAGTTTTGTGCATGGTGACAGATATGGATCTATCTGCAATCTTCTATGTAGGGAGCCGTCCCTGCATTCTCCATTACAAGATGGCGCCTGCATCCGGCAGGCACCGAATATAAAGTTAATTCACGCAGGCGCTGGGTAACTTTCCATTCCTTGATCTCTGCCTATTCCATGGCGTCATATGGTCCGATGAGCTGCAGCCAATCATAGGGTGACACGTCCCAGGCGGCGGTTGCCAGCCTTTATTAGGGGACAGGATTCTTGGCTCGGGGTCTCCATTTTGTAAGCTTATCCTCTTCCTCTCAAGAGGCATTAAAGCTTTACTGCAGAAGGATCCGAGTGTCCTGTGTTGTTCTTGCCAGCAAGACAATCGCGCGGGACACCTCTGAAACTGTAAACAAGCTACCCTCAATCAAATGTTCTTTTTCAGAAGAGTTGCCATGGTCATCGTGTCTCTTTTCCCATCTTTGTCGAAAATCAGGTGTTCATAGGTGTGTGGGTTAACGTCAGGATTTTCAATTCGATTCCATTGGTCTATCTGTCTATTTTTGTGCCAATACCAAGCTGTTTTCAGGACTATGCCTCTATAATAGAGCTTGAAGTCAGGGATGGTGATACCTCCAGAGGTTCCTTTATTGTACAGGGTTGTTTTGGCTATCCTGTTTTTTTTGTTGTTGTTGTTGTTTTTTTTTCCACATAAAGTTGAGTATTGTTCTTTCAAGGTCTGTGAAGAACTGTGTTGGGATTTTGATGGGGATTTCGTTTAATATATAGATTGCTTTTGGCAAGATTGCCATTTTTACTATGTTGATTCTACCTATCCAAGAGCATGGGAGATCTTTCCTTTTTCTGGTATCTTCTTTAATTTCTTTCTTTAAAGACTCAAAGTTCTTGTTGTGCAGATCTTTCCCTTTTTTTGGCTACCCCAAGATATTTTATGTTGTTTGTGGATATTGTAAAGGGTGATGTTTCTCTGATTTCTTTTTCATTCTATTTATCATGTGTATATAGTAGGGCTACTGATTCTTTTGAGTTAATTTTGTATCCTGCAACTTTGCTGAAGGTGTTTATCAGCTGTAGGAGTTCCCTGGTAGAGTTTTTTTGTTCACTTATGTAGGGAAACAAAATTTCTTATAAGACTTGAACACAACGTTCATTAGATCACACACACACAGAGAGAGAGAGAGAGAGAGAGAGAGAGAAAGAGAGAGAGAGAGAGAGAGAGAGAGAGAGAGAGAGAGAGAGAAAAAAACAGTGAAAATCAGCCTAAGTGTCAAACTAAAGAATGAGAAGACAGATGCTTTACCTGGATGTGTCCACACCCAAGTCTTCACAGATATGCTGTGAACAGAATAAAACAATGAGAGATTAGAGTTGCTCATGAAATTATTCAAATACAAGAAGCCATTAGTAACCATATATATATATATACCAAAGCCATCACTAAGAAACAGTAGGGGGGAATGAGGATCATTGGTTTCACTTCTAAAAGTCAGATAACAGGATTACAGTAAAGAGAGGGAGAGGGGGAGAGAGAGAGTCCCATTAGGTCTCTAATTTACAGTAAACGTGTATAGAATACCTGCTGTATCCTGAGAATGGTACTAGACTATGGAAGTAGAATAGTCATTGCTACATAGAATTTACCACTGTTCCATTGACCACAAATGTATATTATCTAAGGAGTGATGAAAATGACTAAGCCAAATAGTTACTTTATTCTACTCCATATACACAAATGTACTTATCAAAGTAAGTATATAAAGCAAAGTAGAAGCTTGATATTTCCATCCAAGTACTCATTAAAGCCTATATAACAAATTACAATTTCATAAATAAGTATGACTAAAGACAGTAATAAAAACAAACAAACAAACAAACAAAAAACCTTGCTTGGAGTTCCTGGACAGCTACCTTATTTTTTTCAGAGATAGGTGCACATTAAAGTTAAAGCATCCAGCCAGGCATTGGTGGTGCATGCCTTTAATCCCAGCACTCGGGAGGCAGAGGCAGGGGGATCTCTGTGAGTTCAAGGCCAGCCTGGTCTCCAGAGTGAGTGCCAGGATAGACTCCAAAGCTACACAGAGAAACCCTGTCTCGAAAAAACATAATTAAAAAAAATGTTAAACCATCCATTGAGCTTACGAAGGGGACCCCTTTACATGTTTCTTTGGATACATGGATAGGCAGAATCATTTCTGGACTCACATGGTTTTGATTTGAATATATGGTATGCAACAGGTTGGAACTTACCTTAACTAAGGTTTATCTAAGTATTACCAGTATTACTTGAAGAAAACAAAAAACCACTTGTAATGACACACAACTGTAATTCTGACATTCAAGAGAGCTGAGATAAGGCATTGCTATGAGTTCAAGGCCAGCCTGGTCTATGTAGAGTGGCCAGTTTGAACTACAAAGCAGGAGTCTATCTCAAGAAGGAAAGGGGGAAAATGGAGTGAAAGGAGCAGGGAGGAGAAAGGAGGAAGAGGAGGAAGAGAGAATAAGGAGCAAAGTTTCAATGAATTTGGTATATGCTTTTGGGGTTTGGGAATCTACAAAGTAAGAAAGAAATTCCTAGTTCCAGAATTAAGTTATAGCAGAAAATCAAAGCATCTTGGTACTTCAAAATTGTTAAGTAACAGATGGGAGCAGCTCTCCTTGTGTTCTGAAGAAATTCAATTGAATAGTACTCTTTCATTTGGAGCAAAATCTTCCTTCTCCCTGATAAGAATACGTTAGGATCTGGAATTGAAGAAACGTAGTTTCTCAAAACATGTTTTTGTCTAATCTTCTAACAAAATTGAAACTGACAAAAAGGCAGCATGTGCCACAGCATTCTATAATCACAGAAGACCACTGAAATGGCTTACACAGTTAGAAATTTATTAGTCCTACTTGAAGCTGTGCCAGCCTAAAAGACACAGTTTTCACTTCAGAAAAAGGAAATTAGAATGTTTAGTTGTCAAAGCAAAAAGAAAAAGAAAAGGAGAAACAAAATGAGAAAGAGAAACAAAACAATGTTCTTATTGAAAGAACAGATTAAATCTGGAATAAAATTCTATTTATCTTTCCATCACAATGTCCTATCATATCACTTGGTTTAATTGGTAGAGGGGGGCATGCTGGAAAAGGGAGAGTATCTGAGGAACACAACGTTTGACAGTTTGTCTCTCACTGGCCAAACAAGCACACACACATTTTCCTATGCTGGAAATCTTTGCTTCTAAGAGAGCCAATGACAGAGTCCCATGTATTCACACTTCAGTTGAACTTGCAAATGAAATTTGCCGACTAGGACAATCTATTGTATTTCTTGGCTTGGACCAAAGTCAGAGCTTCACCTCCAAACTGCTGACTGGGGAAACTTCCTGAAACACATGGAACCCTTCTTTAAGTAAGGCCTGCCCTAACCAGTTTGCTCCCCACCCCTGCCATGTATGCACCAAAGTGAATAAAACTTCAACTACTAGGTGAAGTTAGTCCCTCTAATGATCACAACCATTTAACTAGAATGAAACCATGCAAAAGTTAGGTTCTTTTAACAGGTGGAGACAATATCAAAACTAAAACTTCTTATGTGTCTGCTCCCTTCCCTTTACTGTGCTAGACTGTAAAAACAAAAGGCAAAGGAAATATAACTGCCCCTTTAAGGACCAAACCATATGTTGAGAAAATTGCTGTGCCAAACACTGTTCTACATGCTAGGTAAATAGCAGTTAACACTGTATGCCCTTCTGTGGATACAGCTGAGCCCATGAGGAAAGAGTGGAACATAACTAAGTGGTTGAATGTTTGCCTTTAATATACAAAACCCCGGGTTCAACTCCCAGTACCTCAGAAAATGTTATATGGGTGGAAAGTTTCTGCACCCCGATAAGCCTGTCCTCCAACACAGCAATCCAAATCAGACCAAATCAAACCGAATTAGAAAAAGCCCATGTTTAATGTATACAAGGCTCCCAGATGATTTTCAGTGGCCAGAGAGGAGATGGAAAAGAGAAATCAGCAAAACCACATGTGTACTTTCTGGGGGACAGTAAATACCCTGTAAGAATGGTGTTGAGCATCTCTGTGGGAGGGGTTGTCAATTGGAAGGCTTTCCGAGATGCAGCAGGGTTTAGGGAGAGAGGGAGGAGAAGGGTTCTGGGTGAAGCTTCCACCAGTTCATTCCAGACTCCTTAGGTATATGGATGCCAGGTGCTGGGGTGAAGCTTCCATGAGAACAATGGGAAAAAATGTATTTTAGATGATGACAAAGTTCTATAGAGTAAGTTTTAAAATAAGTCAGCAAATGGGTAGGAAATCCCTGTTGTGGGAATGTTGTGGCATTTTTTAAACAGGGTAAGTGGGACAGTCTCACCAAGTAGATGGTACTAAGAAAAGGAAATATCTGGTGGGCACACACACGTTTTAATCTCACCCCTCTGGGGCCTACCACAGAAGGATGGAAATTTTGAGGCCATCCTTGGCTTTCTAGCAAGATATTTTTTCTCAAATAACAAAGAAGATAATAAGTAAATAACAAACAAACAAAAATATGTGTGACTGTCAGATGAGGTTAAGGAGATGGTGATCAAGGGATGCTTGCTGTCTTTGAATATTAGTTGAGGTAGAGGAATAAGCTAGGAGAAAAATGTGCTAGGATCCACAACAGGTTTCAAAGGACAGAGCATCACATATCTATCTTATCCATTTACAGAAGAATCAGTGTGGAGATAAGCTCTCTCACTAGTCCATGAGAGAGCTTAATGTGGAAAACCTTGTGGATTTTTAACTCTAAACAGCAAAGTAAAGTCCAAATATTTCATTTTAACTCATTCTTTCCACTCTCTGTAGATAGTTTCTTTCCTTGGAATAAGAATAGTCAACATAATGAGGACTCCTTTTAGTAACAGAGTTCCAGTCCTACAGTCCTCTCTAAGGCACAATGGTGACAGGAACTTCCAAAGGAGCCCTTGCTCCTGACCTAATTAGTATTGCACCTAGAAAAAGATGTGGAGATGGATGCTGTGTCCTCAAATGTTTCAAAGAAATTGAAAGTTAAGATCTTCACACAAAACCTCTCTATTCCAAACACTGGTAACCAAGAATTACAATAAAATTGTCTTCAATTTTGTTTCTCTTTTAACTAAACACTATGATGCTGTCTTAGTTAGGGTTTCTATTGATGAAACACCATGGCCAAAATGCAAGCTGAGGAGAAAAGGGCTTACTAGGTTTGCACTTCAGTATTACTGTTCATCACTGAAGGAAGTCAGGACAGGAACTCAAACAGGGGTGCTGCTTACTTGCTTGCTTCTGATGGCTTGCTCAGCCTATCTTCTTATAGAACCTAGGGATGGCAACACCCACCATGTACTGGACCCTCCCCCATTGATCATTAATTGAGAAAATGCCTTACAGCTGGATCTCAAGGAGGCATTTCCTCAGCTAAGGCTCCTTCCTCTGATGACTCTAGCTTGTGTTAAGTTGACACACAAAACCACCCAGTGGAGATGTAAACTTCAAGGTTTGACCAGACATCCACACAGACAACCTTGGCCTCTTTTCATTTCATTTCATTTCATTTTATTTGTTAATACCCAATAACAAAGTGACAAGCCTTTCTTTCTCTTGTGGCCAGATAATGATTCACAGAGAATTCTCTTCAGACTTCCAACTGTTTTTAAGGATTATTTCCATATGGTACTTTCCATTGGAGATATGCAGCTGCCACCTATGAAATGTTCAGAACTACAATGAGAGCATTGTGAAACGGGCTATGGAGTTTCTACTACAGTGTATGGGACAGCTGATGAAGGTCACATGACCTCATCTAACTAAAACACTTAAGCAATGAAATAATTGACTCGGCTAAGTGGGGTGGGGAGCCACCATTAAAAGAAAGTCCTTTGTAATTTCCCAATCCAATCTTCTCCAGCCCACCTTCTGCTTCTTTTAGGTACATGGATGGTTAAATTGTATACGTGTGAATTTTGAAACCAGCTGAGAAGTAATTCTTATGAAATATACTCAAAAAATTGCTTAGTCAGTGGAGATTTATGTAAATATTTTTGAAGTATTTGTAAGTGACCTAATCCTGACAACTGGGTTGCCTTTTGCATTTTTTCCCTCCTAATGGTGGAAACTTTACTCACAAACTCTATGTGAAAGAAATATGTTCTTCTAGCCTGTGGTGAAGAATCTGTAGGATCATTTCTTCCTACAATAGAAATCCTCTTACTTCAGATAAATGGGAAACAGCAATCACGAGAGGGAACAATAGGGAATTCCCCTAGGGAAATGCTTTTCATCTTTCAAAACTTTACTGACATTAACCAATTAACTGATAGGTGAAG